GAAGGAAATCGTGGATTTTAATGCGGGAAATCACGAGGAAATCAGCTAGAAATCATCGAAACATTGTTACAATTTTATTTCTCTCTCTCGTTACCGAATCGCGGTGTTGTTTATCATATGAAATCAAAGGTAATTCGAGATCAAAGAAGGAAATCATGGATTTTAATGGGGGAAATCACGTGGAAATCGAATGGAAATCACCGAAACCGCTAGGATTTTATTTCCGTCCCTCGTTACCGAATCGCGGTGTTGTTTATCATATGAAATCAAAGGTAATTCGAGATCAAAGAAGGAAATCGTGGATTTTAATGCGGGAAATCACGTGGAAATCAGCTGGAAAACAATAGCAGAAATCAGCAGAAAATCGCCGAAACATTGCTATAGTCTAATATCCGACTGTCACTTGTCCCCGAATCGCACTGTTGTTTATCATATGAAATCAAAGGCGATCGGTTCTCGAATAAGGAAACCGTTTTCACCGATTTCCAAGTGAATAGCCCCTCGGGAAATCCTCTCCTTATCGACCGCCTCGAGGAAATCGTTGAATGTAAAGTTATGCCTGTTTCACGTAGAACGAGCTAATCGAGAGGAGAGAACGCCGAATGATCGAGATACATTATCTAATGCCGTCGTAAATAGCTAAAGCCTCGAGAGCATCTTTATGGGCGACTTATTGAGCGGCATGGACACGTTTCATATCTTCTGATATCCTTGTAAGTAGAGGAAAGCGAGCCAAGTCGGGCTGAAACCGGGAACGACAACGGGAGAAAGAGTGAAAGCGCGGTAATCCTCGGAGGCACTGAGAGGCGCAATAAACAATAATCTCTATCCATTCCGAGCAGGCCGAAGAGTCACCACTTAAACGGGATTGCTCGGCGTGACGAAAGGCCGTTAATTATTGCATTACCTCGCTCATTAACCATTGTTCAAATGAAAATTCCCGCCCCACTTGGTCGGCCTCCTCGATTCTCGTCTCGTTTTCGGATGATTCGTCGATTTCTATGTCACATCGACTTTAACGCGAATTACACAATTTTTTTTACCGAATTAATTCAGCCGAAAGGAATGCCGGGATTAAAGAGTATATATGCCGTTGATTATTGCATTATCTTGCTCATTAATCGTTTTCAAATGAAAATTCCCGCCCCACCTGATCGGCCTCCTCGATTCTCATCTGGTTTTCCGATTTCTATGTGACTTCGACTTTAACGGGAATTACACGATTTTTTTTACCGAATTAATCCCTCCTCGAATTAATTCAGCCGAACGGAATGCCGGGAATAAAAAGTAAATGGGCCGGGATTTAAAGGGGTAAGACGGAGGGAGAGGGCCGCTCTTCGGAGGCACTAAATGGCGCAATAAACAATAATCTCGACTCGGGGTGCGAGAGTTAAGGGTCGGTAATTAAATGGAATTATTTAGTGTAACGAAAGGTCCCAGGTCATGGCAGGCGAGGTGCGGCTCTTCCTGTTTGCGCCCCCTCGAGAGCCTGGAATGGGACGCAACTCGTAGCCGTACTTCTACCCGACTCTTTCTCCACCTCATCTCGACTTTCTCCACAGTTTCCTCTGGCAATTGCATCCGAGAGTCTGCCAAAAATTGTTTATCCGATGCCTTTCCGCTCCCGTTCCGTATAAGTACGAAAACCCCGGCGCTTATCGGTGCTCAAAATTTGCGGCCCTTTCTGGATGAATTTCCAAGATGGCGGACCTTCATGTCAAGGATTCTTGCAAATGCTCAAGATTTGCTGCCATTTCAGGATGAATTTTCAAGATGGGGAACCTTCATTTCGAGGATCCTCGCAGGTGCTGAAGATCTGTGGCCCTTTCTGGATGAATTTCCAAGATGGCAGACCTTTCTCTCGAGGATCCTCGCAGGTGCTCAAGATCTGCGGCTTTTTCTTGATGAATTTCCAAGATGGCAGACCTTCCTCTCGAGGATCCTCGCAGGTGCTCAAGATCCGCGGCTTTTTCTTGATGAATTTCCAAAATGGCAGACCTTCCTCTCGAGGATCCTCGCAGGTGCTCAAGATCCGCGGCTTTTTCTTGATCAATTTCCAAGATGGCAGACCTTCATCTTGAGGATCCTTACATCTGTTCAACATTTACGGCCTTTTCTGGATGAATTTTAAAGATGGGGGACCTTCGTCTCCAGTATCCTCGCAGGTGCTCAAGATCGAGAACGAGAGAGATAATATCTGGAGTTCACAATTAAGCGAAGTGCCTTGCCGAGGTTGCGGCCGATACTTGCGGGCGTTTCGGGGGAGGGGGCAATTGGCAGATGAGTGGGGAATAAATAAATGTTTGATGGGTGTCGTTCATTCCGGTCGCGCCTTCGGCTCGAAACGGATTGCCTTCCGGCGGCGATGTTCCCTTGGGTCCGTTTAACGGGCGCAAGGAGTGCGCACTTCGAAAATAATAAAAGCCCATATTTCAAGCGAGCCATCGGCTATGCAAATCTCAAGTACGTCCCACTCGAGCGCCGGCGGGCCTCTGCCGGTGACGTTTTTAATTATTCGACAGGAGCCTCTAGGTGAACGAAATAAGCGACCGGCTCGGAAGGATCGGCGTTAGAAGTCTCGGGGTATTTAATGGAAATTCCCGAAAAGCGCGTAGAAACGCCGGGGTCTTCTTTAATGGCGGCCGGGGGTAACTTAACGACCCCTTGGACAAGTCCGAGGCGAAATGAATGAATTTATCGAAACTAAATATACGCGACAGCCCATCCGTCCCCGTAGTTGATAGCGATGTGAAGGTTGAAAAAGAAGGAAAAACAGATAAAAAAAAAAGAAAGAAATTCGCGCGAAAGGGAGAAATAAAACCGCGGCCGGGGTCCATCGAATCGGCGAAACGGCGCCCGGCGTCGGGGTGGAAACCTTCGATTTTCGAGGGCGAAATTGGCGGTGGGCTTGTGCCGTTCGATTAACCTTAACCTCTCCGCCCATCCATTGTCGAGGTTGCCGCGAGCGACGCAGCTAGTCAAACAAAAGAGCGTAAAGCCAGTTCATCTCGAGCTGGGCCAGCCTCGTCGGGTCTCGTCCACCCTGTTCCACCCCTTCCGCGCCCCCCCGGCAACCCCTTGATACCACCGGGCTCCTTCGTCAGTCGTCTGCTTATCTTCGAGTTTATTCTCAGATCTTAGTGCCGCCTTGCTGAAACTGCCTCTCAAAGAGCGTCTTAACGGGCCAAACTTGATTCTCAAAGCTTTCTCCGGCGCACCCCTTAGAGGCTGGCTCCTTCTTCCGGACGCGGGCCGCCCCTTTTCTGCCCTACCCTGCCCTGCATCCGGAGAGGTCCTGGACCACCCCCCGATCGTAACGAGCCGGGGCTCGGCCTTATCGACTGGGAAAAATGACGCGGAGGAATTTATTCCCGTTTATCCTCTCCTCCGAGCCAGGAGCCGGGATTCGATCCCGTCGGAAGGAGTCTAGGGCCGCGATTAATCGAGCCCTTGGCCCGAGACGCCGCGTCTGCGATCGCCGATTGGCGTCGCGGCGCCGCCCCCCGCCTTTCGATATGCAAAATTGCTGAATACGCCCGTAAAACGCAGCTGCGGCGCCCGCGTGCCAATATGGTGAGTGGACCCATTCTCCGGGGTACGCCGGATGCCAAACTCCTGTCGGATGGCCGAAATTGAGATATTCGAGATATTAACGCTAGTCCCGGGAGGAGGGGTCCGGAAGTCGTCCTCGAGGCCCGGGCGTCGTCCACCTTCGGCCCCGGATCCGCCTCGAAATTACAAATCGAACTCTAATTACCTCGGACGCTCTCGGGGGTGGCTCTGATCCTGAAGTATTTATCGCACCCTGCCGAATATTACCGATTTGTCACCGCTATTCCTATATTTTTCTATAGTTACACGCACGCGAATGGTAGATGCTGAAAAGCTCCTTTTTGCGTGTATCTTTTATCGCAGAATGGAGATAAACGCGGGGATATCAAGCGAAAGGGTTGACTTGCACCTGAAATATTAATTGCACCTTGTTGAAATTACCGATTTGTCATCGCTATTCCTTGACAGTTCCACGCACGCGAATGATAAACGTTGAAAAGCTCCTTTCTGCGTGTACTTTTTATTGAGGAATAGAGATAAACGCAGATAAATCAATCGAAAGGGTTAATTCATTCCTGAAATATTGATTGCACCCTGTTGAAATTACCGATTTATCATCGCTATTCCTTGACAGTTCCACGCACGCGAATGATAAACGTTGAAAAGCTCCTTTTTTTATTGAGGAATAGAGATAAACGCAGATAAATCAATCGAAAGGGTTAATTCATTCCTGAAATATTGATTGCACCCTGTTGAAATTACCGATTTATCATCGCTATTCCTTGACAGTTCCACGCACGCGAATGATAAACGTTGAAAAGCTCCTTTTGCGTGTATCTTTTATCGAAGAATAAAGATAAATGCGAGGAAATCAAGGGAAAGGGTTGGCTCACACCTGAAATATTAATTCTACCTTGTTGAAACGACCGATTCATCATCGCCATTCCTTGACAGTTCCACGCACGCGAATGGTAGAAACCGAAAAGCCCCTTTTTGCGTGAACAATTTTATCAAAGAACCGAGATAAACGCGGGGAAATCAAGCGAAAGGGTTTACTCGCACCTGACGTTAACAAAACGTCGCTCGAATCGGGGGGCGAAGGTCCATTGAACGGAACGCGACATAATTGGAGTAGCGGTGCCATGGAAATGCAAGTCGATCGCGAGTGGCGTCTCGACGGTCGGCAGTTCCGCTGCGGATCCGCCGGGACGCGGAAACGGCCGCGGCCGCGCCGCCACGCATCGTTGTGCAGGGTTGCGTAGGGTTGTGCAGGGTCGTGCAGGGCTCGAGGTGAGAGGCGAGAGGGTAGGTCGCCGACAATGGGCATTGTGCACCCGCCATAACCAGGAACCGAACGCGACAGCTACGCTCCGGTATTGTCCGAGTGTCAGGGGTGGTTCCCCCCAGCCCCTCTTCCTCTTCCTTTTAGAGGCACCGCACGCACCCCACCGGTACTTCCGGGCCAGTGATGGCCCCTTCGTACTTCGCCGGACCTAATGGGCCCTTCCTCGTTTCTTCGACCTCTTCCGGACATCGGCGACTCCTCGTCTCTCCCTCTTCGAGCGAAAGAACGAAAGGCAACTGGAATTTCCCTGGTTAGGGACGAACGAGAGAACACCGACACCGAGAGACTCTTCCTCCGCGACTTTGGGGAAGCGCCTTCGTACCGGGAAACGCATCGCGATCGGGCTTTATCTCGGCCCGATTAGGCGATACCTTTAATCATTCCCGACGATAAAGACACCTGATAGAGATTCGCCTTTCGGGTATATAAAGTGGGGAATGCACAAGGTGAGGACAGTTCCGAATTCTCCGTGGGCCTACCTCTACGTCGAATCGCATAACGCATCTGAAACCAACATGAAAGGTAACCCGCTTCATCCCCTCCTTCATCCCGGGAACGATTACATCTCGGAAACGTCCAAATGACGTAGAACCTCGAGCAAAGTGTCATCCCGGACCTTGAGGACACCCACCCTCTGTTCGGGTCGTCGATATTAACCCTTGGGGCTTTTCTCGCAGTGATACTCGGCCTCACCTTCTTGGCCCTGGTCGCCATCACCTGGAGTCTGGACAGCGGCGACGTCCCCGTCGACTGCCCCGAAATCAACGAGGAGAACGCCACCCTCCTGGCCAACCCCTACGACTGCGGCTCGTACTACGTCTGCGAGACCGGGGAAGCTATCTTGCTGCAGTGCCCTGACGATCTGCACTTCAACGACGAGCTCAAAGTCTGCGACTGGCCATACCGCGCGAACTGCACCGCCGTGCCCAACTCGTAGAGAGGGAGTCTCTTTTCGTCAAAGGGTCACCCCCTGGACCCACCCCGGCAATGTGCGAATAAATCCGATGGAGTCGTCCGTGCTGGCGAGCGCCACTTTGGGAACATCGAGCTCGATGTCAAGAAATCCAGCAATTTAGACGCAACAACGACATCGGGGGCGACACCGCATCATCCGGATCGCGCGATGCACCCTCCAAAATATCTCCCCCTAGTCAAGTACCTCCAAATCGACGAATAATAAATTCATGTACAAGTTTAAGGTCGCTGGCCAGCCATTGCCGTGAAATTATGTACTTACTCGACGCCACCCCATTATTGGTGATAATAAAGGTTTAATATGTACTAAAGGGCTTTCCTAATTTATCTTACGTTACACAGTGATAACGTTAATAATCGAGACGTTTTTCGAGTATCTCCAAATCGATGAATAATAAATTCACGTCCAAGTTTAAGATCGCTGGTCAGCCATTGCCATAAAATGATGTACTTACTCGACGCCACCCCATCGGATATTGGTTATAATAAAGGTTTAACATGTACTAAAGGGCTTTCCTAATTTATTTTACGTTACACAGTGATAACGTTAATAATCGAGACGTTTTTCGAGTATCTCCAAATCGATGAATAATAAATTCACGTCCAAGTTTAAGATCGCTGGTCAGCCATTGCCGTAAAATGACGTACTTACTCGACGCCACCCCATTATTGGTGATAATAAAGGTTTAATATGTACTAAAGGGCTTTCCTAATTTATTTTACGTTACACAGTGATAACGTTAATTATCGAGAAGTTTTTCGAGTCCCTCGGAAGGGTAGGTGCGGTCTCTTCGTGGCGCCTTTCCAAGGAAACGGCGTTTGACGCGTAACATACGTGTCGACGTTTGCATCGGCGATATCTCGAATGCCGTTTGTCGCGCGAGGTGACGTTTTCGAGGGCGAAGGGGGTGGAGGGGGTGCGAAGTAACGACGTCTCGGAGAGGGATGAAAGAGCGAACGGATCGAGACTCTTCTTATCGGTGGCAGTCAGCTACCGGGTAGCTACCAACTACCTTTTCCGACTCCGGGGCGGCTCCTATGGCGCGAGGAACGCTCAGCGCCCGGGGAATGTTAATGGGTTCCATTCTGTGTCAAATTGGAAATCGATCCGAGTGCTCGTCATGAAATAAACGAACTAGGCACCGCCACCGCGGATTCGAGCCGGGAGGGTCGACCCGGGTGTGGATCTGTATTTCGCGGGTGCCCGGAGTAAGGAGGGGTCCTCTTCGTTAATTCCGCCCCTAGGAGGCGAAAAGTCGCTACGCAAAGGGTTCCCCGAAACCCCGGTGGGGGTGTAATCCCCCCGAGTTCACGCCCGGGATCCAGGACGCAGCTGGCCGGTCTATATTGGCCGGAGATCTGGATTTTCGCGGCGCCCTTTCGCCGGGGAGCGGCTACGGGAGGGCGGATCCGCCCTAGTGGGCGCAATTACCCCACTAAATATTCACAAGTTCATTACGAGCGGAGTTGGACGGTCTGCCTCTCTCCGGCAGCTAGGCTTCGTCTACCTTTCCAAGCCGGCCGGTGAAATATTCCCGCCAGGGCCCGATTACGGCAGGGATACACCCGAAAAGCCCCCGCTCGGGGGGTGCGAAGTGGGAATCCGTTTTGAAATTCCCCCGACGCGATTACCGGGCCGAAAGTTGGCACGCCATATTCCCCGGAATCCTGGCTGGCGATATCTTATCCGGGAGATTCCGATCGACACGGAGGCGCACTTCTGCCTCTCGAAGGTAACGAGAGGCCACTCGCGCCGCACGTGCGTGTCCGGGATTCCGCGTGGATGGACCACTTTGGACCGGTCCGCGTTGTTTCCGCGACCCTCCTCCACGGGGGCCTTCCCTTCGAGTGTAACGACATAACTCTCCGGTGTCGATGGGACGGGGATTTTTGTGACGTCGAGGGTGCCTCTCGGTGCCCCCGAGTGCCCGGGAGGAGGACGCCCACCCTCGACGCGTGCGTCGACGCGGAAGTGCGGAAAGGTGCGCGGTTGGTGCAGGACCAAGGTTTTTTAAATAAAATCCCGGGTACCCCTGGCCGCGCGGAAGTGCATATCCGCGTCGACCGGACTCGAAATCTCGGATAGGAAATTCCTTCGGAAGCCATCACCTTTTTTATTACCCTTGCGTGTTTCGGGGACGGGGAGATTTATACACCTTTTCGGGAATTCCGCGCCTTCCGCGGGCAATTAATTCCGGGGGCCGAAATTTATAAAGCGTGTACGGATTTCCCGGGGGAGGAAATTGAAGAGCCGTCGAGAGGATGTCGCCGCGCGACGGAACGCGCTTACTCGGACGTATAGTCCCACACATCGCCTTGCGGGTGGAGGGAAGGACGATCGACAGGGGTCCTCGTCGCGAGAAAAATACCCGCTCCGGAAACAGGGCTTCCCGTAAAAGCGGCATTTCAGGTCCTCGTAACGTCCCACCGAGATCGGGTCCCGGTTGGGATTCGGGATGCGCGAGTATTTCTCTTCACCCTCCCTGGCGGGGGAGGATTCGTTCGCCACCCCTCAAGAGGGGGCGAGAGTTCGATCGTTCCCCTTCAGGGGGTGGTCGGTGCGGATCCGAGCTGGGTCCGCCAAAAAGGAAAGAGAGGTCCTCTAATTCGGGATAATTTCCCGTGCAACGGAAGAAACGCGATTCCCAGGAATTTTCTGGGGAAATCTTTCTCCCCGCCATTTCCCTACGCCGAGTTGGACGTTTTATTAAGCCGAGGTATAAACAGGCCGCGCATTCCGCCTCCGCGGCTGACAAAAGCCGCGCAATTCCGTGCAATTCATCCTGGCATAATTTAAGCATAATTTTCAGAATGGACGAGGGTCAGTAAGGCCGATTTTTGACCTATGGCATAGTAATTTTTCTTCTTTTGGGGGTTTTGACGGTGTTTTTTTCAGGTTAAAATCTAATTCAGAATACAATCTTTACGATTCTGTAGTTTATTTCCGATTAATAATAGTGAAAATGTTGTTCTACGGGCTCGCAAAGTTGGTTCGGATCGCGGTTTAATAGCAACTTTGGCACTTTCTAAAGATACAGTGTAATTAATAAAATTATTGCAACTTCCAAAATGTATGTCATATGAAAGTTCGGTACATTGAGTGTAATAAATCGTTTTCTTCTGCAAAAACTGGAGTGTTTTTATTATTAACCCCGATTTAGTAACTAACAAAGATCTCACTATGGGAAAAACTATAAATCTTCAAAACTCAGCGACAGGCAAAAAATCGGCCTTATTGCCCCTCGTCCATGCGCCCCGAGAAATAATTTCCCCCACCGGGTGAATCCGATTTTTTAACACCAATCTTGCGTCGCATTTCGGCTACTCGAAAGACGCGTTTCGCGTCTAGTAACAAAGATTTCACTATGGGAAAAACTATAAATCTTCAAAACTCAGCGACAGGCAAAAAATCGGCCTTATTGCCCCTCGTCTATTCGGCCCGAGAAATAATTTTCCCCACCGGATGAATCCGATTTTTTAACGCCAATCTTGCGTCGCATTTCAGCTACTCGAAGTACGCGTTTCGCCGCGAGTAAACAATGTCGGGAATAAGAAGTTCGTCGAAAGGGGGATCATCTAATTTCTCGAGAAGTGTTTTAACCGCGACCTTGATTACAGATAACGAATGAATCGTGCCTCGGCGGGTGTTGACGATCGGCGACCACGAGGCATGACGATCGATATCTAAATCACTTAAACCCACGAAATTACATTAAGCGGTGACGCGCTCTTTATCAGAGGAATCCTGTTTTCGAGCTCGTAGTCCGACGTGACGTCAATCGCACGGGACTTCTTCCTCGTTTCGATATATCTCTGGAACGCTCATTAATCTGGCCACTAATAAATGAGTCCACCCGTTCACCTGTCCGTCACCTTATCACTGGATAGCCGCGAAAAAGTGCGCCGCGAGTCGGGAATTCTTCCCAAAGCTCGAGGTGCTCTAATCTTGAAGGAAGTGTTTAAATTAAAATACATGTATCTACTATTGACAATTACCCTATGTTTCGTATATCTCGCAGCCTGGGATGATGACTTATAAGACAAATATGCGCGTATGCCTCTAAACTAAAGTATTCCGAATAAGAGCCAATTGCTCGATTGTGTGGTTTAGAACAAAGTTTTGTCAAGGTTTGTCAAAAATGTCAAAGTTTTAGATAATTTGGTGTACCCAGTTTGGAGACAAGATTTATAAATATTTTGCCCTTTTTTTATGTATATATCCCACTTTCATATGTAGGAGGTATTTCAAATACACGTATCTACCATTGACAATTTTCCTATATTTCGTATATCTCGCGTATGATGGCTTATTACAAGACAGATATGCGTGTATGCCTCTAAACTAGAGTATTCCGAATAAGAGCCAATTCCTCGATTGTGTGGTCCAAGACTGACTCCTTTCTGCTCATTGTTCCTAGGGACAATCTTGGTTTAGCCGTATGAGTTGTTTAGGAAATGACCATGTCTTCTAAACAATGCTCATGGCTTCTAAACAATTCTCACATCTTCTACACAATTCTCACGTCTTCTAAACAATTCTCACATCTTCTAAACAATGCTCACGTCTTCTAAACAATGCTCACATCTTCTAAACAATTCTCACATCTTCTAAACAATTCTCACGTCTTCTAAACAATGCTCACAACTTCTAAACAATGCTAACGTCTTCTCGCCCGTGATCCCTGGAATAGGGTATGCACCTCCGATCATTTTCCCTTTCTCCCTTTGTGAATATTTCCTTCAATCTCAAATATCGGAAGAATTTCTAAGCACTCTGTGCCACCTCGAGTCGCGTTCTTAGGGTGGATTTATGCACTCGCAGATATTGCGCTGCCCGTAAATGAGAATTTAAGTACCTGGAACGCGTGCCTCTCTGGCGTTTCTATTTTCGCGAGGCGATAAAATTCGACCGGCATAAATCTGAGTTAGGTGGGAATTCCTCGGCAACTATCTCGCGGAATAATTCGCCCTTAAGGTGATATGAAAGTGTCATATATACATACCAAACAATCAAATTTTCTATAAAACTTTTCTCCAAATTGGGCGTAAGGAATCATTTGAATCTTCATCACGAGATTACGGAGTACCCAAGGAAGAAGGCGATGCTCGTGAAATTTCATTTTTCGAAAGAAACACTGTGTACTTATCTCGGACAAGAGCCCAAAAAAGACCTTTTTTTCGAAAAATGGAATTTCACGAGCATCGCTTCTTAGGTGAAGAATGTAAAATTGGGCTATAGGACCAGGAGTTCTATGAAAGGAAGGAATAAAGGACCGCGGTTATGAGATACGAGAGAAACAAACGGAAAGCGGACTTGAAAGAAAGAAAAGTCCCCCCAAATCGCCGGGAAGGGCTCCAACCCGGCAGTCCTTGGTATAATGAGAAAAATGACTAATTAATCGTACCAGGGTCTAGGGGGAATATTCGGGGATATTTGCACCCTACGTCGTCCGTCGCGCCTGCCGGTGTCACTTCTCTCGGTTCAAGGGGAAGTCAAAGAAGGGCCGAAACTACCCGGTAGCTGGTGGTGTCGCCAAAGAGGTAGCTAATGAATCGCGGACCGGCACCGACGTGGACACGAAAGGGGCGAGTCTCGGTTCCATTCGGTCCGCGCAGCTTGTTGGTCCATCTAGGTCCCCCTGGGTCCTTCGGGGTCATCCCGAGTCTTGGCCGAAAACGTCCCGGGTCCCTTTCAGCCCCAAAATTCGGGCGGATGCCCTCGAAGGATGCATCTCGACTACCCAATGAAAATCCTGGGGAGTCGAGATGCTTCCCATCGGGGCTGTTGAAAAATCCGGGAAATCGGAAAAATCCCCGGACGGGATCCGGAGTGCTTTCGAGGGACCCGAGGGTCCCTTGGATTTTCGATCGAGATTTCTAACCGCGAGATAGGGATATGCCGAGTGACCAAATTTCCGGCCAGCCAGTGCGGCCTCTCATTAGGTGTGTCAATTCGCCATCTGCCGGTGTAATTAGGTGTGTTACGAGGAGTCCGAAACGAGCGATTCCCCTCGCAATGGCCAACAATCAGCCCGGGAAGCGGGGCTAACACGGCTAATCGCATCGCCGATGGCTCGTCATTGATTATCGCGCGTTTTCCCGGCCCAGCCTCGGGACTTCGCGGAGGTCGACGATTGCGCAGCCCCGTCAGGATTGCGGCACCGAATTCGCCGATTCGACAGGCCAGGACGTGACACCTTATCTTCGGCCGATACGCCTGGATAAGCGTAGATTAGGTGGCGGTGAGCACGGCGAAACGGATTCCCAGCCGGGGCCTTCGCCGAGGATCGGCCGACCTGGGGGAAGAGTCGTCTAGATCGAAGCTGCCGGTCGTCTCGGCGCAAACTAAACGACCCGGGGGTGGTAAAAGTTAGGAGACTCCCCGGGGCCAATATCGGATTCTGGACCATAACGCGGATCGCGGGATGGCAGTCGCGGAAAGCTGCGACAAGTCGGCGGGTCTGCCGTCTTTCAATCCCGGACCGGCGAGACGGTCGTAAACGAGCGCGCCGCACGGAAGAAAAACTGCTAAACGAAAAAGCCCGCCCCGGTCGGATCGGGTCGCGCGATCAAACGGGGGAAATAATGGATTTCGGCCAATAAAGATCGCCCGGTCGGATTGCTCGTCCCGGGGCAGCGGCGTGACCCGGGGATAATCGGGCCCTCCCGGGGTTAATAGATTTTTTTCTTTTTTTTTTTCCCCCGGCGATTTGCGCGACTACCGCGACTTCCGGCGATTCCCTTACGACCCCCCGGCACGGCAGGTCGAGAGGATACGAGACGCCACCCTTAGGAAGTTCCAACATGACTTATGACCTCCACCATGGATTTTCAGGGTGCACGTGATCCGGTCTTTCGGGAGTCCGAAATTTCCGTTCCGGACCCCGTGGGCCCTTGGAAAATCCCTCATCTCGATCTTCTCCTGGGAATGGATCCATTGTGTTATGGTTTTTATCGGTGGTTTTGGAAGACGGGACCATGGGTCCAGCTCCGTCCGGATCTTTCCATCCGGGTTATCCGGCAGTGGGGCTAATAGGGCAAATCCGCGTCGGATGGGCTCGGAGTAGCCGAGTCCGTGCGGTCTATCAGAGATTAGCGGGTCGATCCATTAGGGGGTGATTTAGTCGTCGGTCCCCGAGCACTCAGCGTGGCGGGGCGGTCCCCCCTGCGAGGCGGGGGCATAATCAGCCGGGAATGAAGTATGCGCGCTCGGGGGGCATATTCGCGGCGGCGGTCGGGTGGGTCCGGCCGAGGGGTGGCGGCGGTCCCAGGGGCGCGATGTGTCCCACCCAATTACAATGTCCGGCACTTCGCTCTGTCCAAATACAAACAGGGCCGCTAATGCGCCCGCTAGTGCACCAACTCGCACCCTGCACTCTGCACTCGATATCCGTCGACGATGCGCCCACTGTCGGGGCGCGAAAAACCACCCCTTCGAGATGCGACATGGTGGAGGAGGGGTTTCAAAAATTCGATAAAGAAAAAACAATGACTAAAAACTAATACTAGTGGTATCAATTTTAGACGTCACAGCACGATCGCGCCCACTATCAGGGCGCGATAAACCGTCTCTTCGAGACGCCTCATGGTGGAGGAGGGGTTTTAAAAATTCGATAAAGAAAAAACAATGACTAAAAACTAATACTAGTGGTATCAATTTTAGACGTCATCGCGCACAGCACGATCGCGCCCACTATCAGGGCGCGATAAACCGTCTCTTCGAGACGCCTCATGGTGGAGGAGGGGTGCTAAAAATTCGATAAAGAAGAAACAATGACTAAAAACTAATACCAGAGGTGTCAATTTTAGACGTCATCGCGCACAGGACGATCGCGCCCATTATCAGGGCGCGAAAAACCACCCCTTCGAGACGCCTCATGGTGGAGGAGAGGTGCCAAAAATTCGATCAGGAAGAAATAATGACTTAAATCTAATACCAGAGGTACAAATTTCAAACGCCGATCGTTCGGAAGGTAGCAAAGGTATCCGAGGTCCTGCGTAACCGTCGCGGTACAAGGACGCCCGGCGTCGCGGGGCACGGCCACTGGGGCAGCGCGTCGGTCAGCTGCGCGGTCGCCCGTTCGATCGCTAACGAGCGATTCGATCTCGATACAAGGGTCGAATCGAGGCGCCGAGAGGTGCGCGAAAACCGGGCGGCCGAGAGAAAGAGGCCGAGAGCGGGAAGAAAGGGAGAAAGAGCGAGAGAGGACGGCCAATTACGGAGAGCAATTAACGCTCACGCTAATTGCTAATAAAAGTTACAATAAGTAATTAGTGCCCCTCCAGCCCGCCGTCCCCTGCGATGCCCAGGCATAAACGCTAACCTCGACCGCCCTTGCGTGGTCTTCCCTCTTGTTCGGAGGGCAACTAGCCGCTCGCAATTAGCCTAGCGATAGCCCCTGCGCTTTTTCGTTGACATCCATTCTTCGGCCCGCCGAACCGGGGACATTTCAAGCCTCCCGTAGGATGCCCATCGATTCTGCGCTAGGAAAAAGCCTACTTAGGAATAAAGGACTCCCATCCCCGCCTCGCGGGATTGCCTCGAATCACGAGATTTCCTTTCCGTTTCAGCCAGGAGCCGAGCCCTACGCCTTCGTGGAGTTCGACGAGCACGCCGGGGCCTCGACGGCGCTCTCGGCGCTGAACCATCGCCGCTTCCTGGACAAGGTAAGCGCCGCCGGTCCCGCGAATTAGTCTCGCCGGCGACGGAGACGACGCATCCGGAGAGCGGAACGGAGAGAGAGATGAAGGACTGGAGAGAAAGGGGAGTCGAGTATTGGAAGCCAGCCGGAATAGCTAATGCTCGAATATGTCGTAGTTTGGTGGGATGCGGTCAGAATTATACATGCTCCGCGATACATGACCCCCCGGTCCCCCTCGGCCGTACCTGGGCGTCGCGACGCCGCCGCGCGGAGTTACTCGGTTAGTTTAGATTCGCTCAGGCAAGTTTTGATGTCGCTCCCACCCCCCCTCCCACCCCCACCCCCCCTTCGCCGCCTCTTACACCGTAACTCCGACGACGCATTACTAATGCCGAACTGGTCGTAATAGATTGGATGCCTGAAACTTCGGGAACGCGCTAATGCAGCCCAACGTCGCGCCCGACGCCCGGCCCGTTAGACGCCGTAACGAGCGACGCAGCGAGGCGACGCCTGTCCGCCTGGAAAGGGGCCGAGGGATTGGGATCGGAGGTTTTTCTTTTTTTTTTAGGTTAGACCCCCCTCGTCGATTTACCTCCGGATGCCCGTCTGACCGAAGCCGGCTTTCTCCCCTGGCGAGTCAAGGGAGCGGTCCCACCTCGCCTCCACCTTGGACGGCCGTTCTTCTTCGGCTCTATTATTCCCCCGGCAAGTCCTTAAGGAATTTTAAAAATTCCCTCGAGCAACGTCTACCCACCCCTCGCCGCCGGATGCACCCCCGAGGTCTTCGGCCTTCTCGGTCCGGGTGCATCGCGGGGGGTCCTCCCGTAAATTCCGATCCTTCGGGCACGCCGACTTTCGTCCTCCTTGGCTCCTCGGTTCGAGCCGATGGGAACTTCCCTGCGAGGGAAATCCTCCCAGGGAACGTCCCCAGGTTCGCAGGGGTTGCGCAATGCGGTCGGCCGAGGAGAAAGCGCGGCTCTCGAGGTACCTACGTAACGAGAGGGAATTAACCCGAAGTTTAACGCTCGATACACCCACTGGTCCGACTTTGTCGCGACTCCCTTCCTGGTGGTCGCTCTGTCTCTCTTATATCCCCCGCCGACCCGTCTGTCCGTCTCGCTCCCTCTCGTTCTCGTTCCGCCGCTCATTAGGTCGAATTATACCCCGGCTCGGTGAGACTTTCCCGGGTACGCGACATGGTTCCGGCATGCACAGGGAATGGCGCCCTTGGCTGGGGGAATTATTAATCCCGATAACCGAACTCCTGGGTGCAATCTTTTCCCTGCACCGCCGGAGCCGCAGGTGGCGAATCCGTCGGTGTCAACGGCCGAGATCATTCCGGCGGATTATCCGGCGCAATAAGTAATTGCGAGTTCTCGCTGAAACCGGAAGTCGTAGGCAAAAGTGATTCCGACGAAAGTTGTTCGCCGCGAAGGGAGGGGCGACTTTTATCCGGGACATTTTTTAACTGCGTCTAAGATTAGTTCGGAAAAGGAGATCGAATCTATCGGTGCGTCTTATCGGGGTCAATGGCTGAGATGCTTTCGGTGGATTACGCGGCGTCCTTAGTTTTCACGAGTTTTCGCTGAAACCGGAAGTCCTAGATAAAAGTGTTTCGAACGAAAGTTGGTCGCGGCGATGGGAGGGGCGACTTTTATCCGGGACATTTTTTAACTGCGTCTAAGGTTAGTTCGGAAAAGGAGATCTTTTATCGCTGGACGCGCCCGATCTGCTGGCGGGGGATTCTCCCTCGGGACGCGCGTGTTCTTCGGGAAAGTGGCGTGCCCTTTCGCGTTTTCCGATTGAATCCACGGCCGGGAATCCATGCGATACTCAACCCGCTACGAGTTGGCTGTGCATCGGTACTCGACGTGACTCGGATTCGTATTAATGCGGAGCAACACCGTGAAATTACCTACATCCGGAGGAAGCTTCTCCTTTCCCCGCCCCGCCGACCGTCCACCCCTCTCGCCCCATCCGACCCCCAACGCATCCCTTTTCTCCACTTACCATCAAGGCACGTCCGATAATGGCGAGCGTTTACGTTCTTTTTACCTTTAATTACAAAAATCCCGATATCCTTCCTTCATAGACCTCCCGCTCGAGCGATAAAACGCGGCAAGCACTGATAAAAATTAAATTGACATACTCAATCATTGATCATTTCCATACTACAGTGAATTGCAGTAAAATGACATTGCTCCGTAATATCACATTCAGCATGAAAGTTAAGTTAATTAAATATCATAGCCTAACATTACATAGAATTCACGTAAAAATCCACTAATACGGTGAATACACGATGTTAGGTGTATGTATACATTATCTAATTTATAATCTTTCCACATTTACGTTTCTCTATGTATATAAGCCTTCAGTTACGAGGTATGTAAGAACGTACGTAAATTTCCATCGACATTTGTCAGGGTGAGTACACCTTCTCGTACCGTTAAAAAGGAAATCCACGCGGCCACCGATAAAGAAGAAAGAAAAAGAAAGAGAAAAATGATATGCGTATATTCGGGGGGAGAATTTTCCGGAGATTCGTTTACGGCCCCGGAGTTCGAAAAGACAGGTGGGGACGGTCGTTAGGGAAAAGCGACTCGCAAAGAGCTTTTCCCCTCCATCCCTCCACCCGATCGAACCCGCCGGGGGTGGCAGGAGATACGGGAGTCGCAGAAACGGAAATCAGTTGGGAGCACGAAGTTACGATTGAGATTTAAGTTATTGACAAGCTACTTTGGCGAGCCCCCGACGAGATCTCGCCCGGTTTATCCCGGTGGCCCACTGCCTCTCTGATTTCCCTCAGGACCGAACCCTTGAGAAACCATTCTTCCGCCCACAATGACCCCCCACGGTGCGCGCCCGCCACCCACTTATCGCGCACGTCCTATCCGGCGACGTAGGGGATTTTTTAATCTCGCGATGCGCCCGATTTATCGCCCCCCCGAATTCCCCCCCCCCCCAGGAAGAAAAACCTCCCGTCGGAATCCAGCGGCACATTTTTCCCGAGCCTTGGGGGCCCCCTCTGGAGTAAACCGCGGTGGAAATTCCCCGAATTTTCCATCGGCTCCTCCCTGAGGAGGCGGAAAAGCGTAGGAATCCGAGTTGTCCATTGCACCGTCCACCGGTAGGGAACCGAGTTTTCCCGCTAATTTTTCATCCGGCCGATGGAAACGTGCTCTTTGAGGGCGCGAGAGGATAGGATTAAACCCCTACCGAAAACAAAGGTCCTCGCTTGGAGGGCCGTATACGTTCAGCCGTCACATGAGCGACTCGACTGGTATCACGGGTCCGTAGTACAGAGTATATACGGTATATTACCAGAGTGGCGTTCCGTTTAACCCCCCCGGGGCGGGGGCGATGCGTTTTCCGCCGCGAGCCGGCCTCGTCGCAGTGTCCCATTGGCCGCGAGCGCATACGCCGTCCCTTTCGCTTCGACGGCGAACACCATTCCGCGAGGATTAAATATTGACTGCGATTCTGATTTATAGTAATTGCCGGGGGGGAGGTCCACGGGGGGTGGCTAGCTGCCCGGAGGAAAGCCATTCCCGCTACGCGGCGCGGCGCTTCCGCGCGGCCTGACGGATGCGCTCGCCGAACCGTTGCGGACGTTTCTCGCGCGTTTCCCCTGTCGCCCTGTCGCCGTGTTGGCCTATCCGCTTTTATTTACCGTCTTTCGTTAACCGAGAGACCCCGGGACCCGATCCTCGAGTTCACGGGAACGCTACTAGATCCCCATGAGAAATTTTCCCCATTTTCCCGAAATCCCGTCACTGGTCGACGCTCCTACGCCAAACCGTCGATCTCACGGGCGAAATTTAATCCCAGGAGAAATTTCGATTTCATACCTCTGTATCGACTGTACGCGGTTTCGTTGATGGCTGGAAAAAAAGGCGTGGAAAAACGATCCGATCTCGATGACCTGGTGCTAACGTCGCTCATTCGAGAGGTTTAAGAAAACGATACTTTCCGCCGAGTTTGACAGGCTCAAAATCCCGGATAATGAGACTCGGTTAGGGTGTTCGCGGCTGTATGTGTACTTGGGGCGGAACTCTACCGAGTTTCTTAATCGACCTCGGAATCGAGTCCGTCCAGCCGGATTGTCCGGGGAAACTCCCTTCCGAATACCGGCAGGCAGATGGTACCGCTACCGAGGCACGTTCCGGCCCGGCCGCGGATCCAGGGATGTGGGGACCGGGTCGACTTCTCTCGAGGACCTCGATCGATCCATCGATCGTCCACGGAGAGGCAGCCTGGCCGATTTCGGGGCATTCCGCGCTTTTAACCGAGACGGCACGGATTGATGCATGGTCCTACCTTGCGTTTTTCGGGCTCCCGGCCCGGAACGAGGAGTAATGAACGATTCGTTAATTGCCGCTAATTAAGGATAAATAACGGCGGGAGTCGCGCGAGGGGTTTGGGAGACGCGGAGGTCACCGGCTAGCCGGGCCGGTGATTTACCGGTAGAGCAGCAGGCGGCGTCCGATTATTTTTGGTTTTAGTCCTGGCGGCCATTATTTTTGGTCTCCCGCCGCCGCAACCTTCGACTCCGGAGCCCGCCGGAAATTTAGTGCGTACATGCCGGGGCTTAAAGTGCACCACTCGCCCTCGTGGCCTCGCCTTTTCCTGCCCTCGGGCCGATACCGGTCACCTATTTTTTTTTTTTTACATAATTACGCCCGTTTCCTCTAGATATTTCCGCAGGTGGAGTCCCCTTGCAGATGGAAGGGCGCCATCGACCCCTGGATCCCGACCTACCCCACCTGCGGCGCAAGGCATCGTATATGACACTTCCATATCATATTTTCGGGGGGGAAGTCCCCTCGCAGGTGGAAGGGCATCATCGACCCCTGGATCCCGACCTACCCCATCTGCGGCGCAAGGCATCGTATATGACACTTCCATATCACATTTCCGCGGGAGGAGTCCCCTCAAAGGTGGAAGGGCATCATCGACCCCTGGATCCCGACCTACCCCACCTGCAGCGGAAGACTACTCCCTTGGAAATCAGTAAATACGATT